AACACCACGACTATTCCATGTCACAATCTTCATTTAATTAGACGGTGTTGTGAGAGTCGGCTGCACTGAGTCCGCAGCCTGGGGTGGATGAATTTTGACCATGATGGCTGGGTCAACTGAGGCAAGCACTGGTACGTGATTTTGGTCTGGAGCAGGTGCTAATGATAATGGGTAGTGTTGGGGATGTACTTCTATCATTGAAGAGGTAGATCTTGGCACTGGCACCTTGTTACTCCTAATTTCTGCCATTGTGGGCAATAGAGAGGAAAGTTCTTTCTGTTTGTTAGTGCCTTGTGATGGCTGGTAAGGCTTAGGAATGGTAGGTTTAGAATCTTTAGGGATTGGGCCCCCAGATTTTGCCTTTCTTCTTTTAGGTTGAGGCTTAACAAAATCCGTTGATGGAGCAAGGTGAGGGCTTGGGATAGTAATGTCCATTGGCTTAACTTGTTCTGTGGACTCCTCAGTTTGAGGCGAGCTTCCCGCCAGCAAGGGTTCAGTCACCATATTTGAATTTAGCAAATCTGTCTCTTCCCCCATTAGCTCTGACATCACTGCAAAACGATTACTCCTTGATTCATGGGAACCAAAATTGGCAACAATCTTAGGGGCCAAGGATTGCGCCTAGTTTTTGGCAACGGGTTTATGTGGATCTTGAACTTTTGGGGAGATAGTAGGTTTGCTGGTTGACGGTTCGACTGAGCGACGGGGCTGCTGCTGTCGTCGTGGCTTCCTTTGTTGAACCATCCATGGGCCAAAAGTCATATCATTTTCTTCCGGATTTGGCTTTAAAGTTTGAGTTAACTCGACCATAGCCTTTGAGCTGGGGTTGCCAACGGGAGAGGCCTTCCCAGGATTCTTAAAACGACAATAGTTCTCTGTGTGACCAAATTCCCCACACTGAAAACAGATTTTATGTAGGCCTTCAAATTCCACCGGAATGAGAGACTGAGGTAACTCCTCTAAGTCTAGGTCCACGGATGATGGGAGAGGTTGGCTGAGGTCAACTTCAACGCAGACTCTTGCAAATTTTCCTCTGGCAGCAAGGAGGGTTGTAGGATCAACTTTGATCGATTTACCAATTTTACTGCCCAGATAAAGACAAATAGCTTCATGAAAGCAAACTATTGGAACACCATGTAATTTAACCCACACTGCTGTCTTGGGGGCTTTTGCTCTGGCTGGATGAAAACCTGGTTCCCAAGGTTGAACGGCCAAATAATGATCAAACATTTTATATGGCCCTCCTGTTAAAACCATAGCACAATCCTGTGGGGAAGAAAATTTGACAATATAATAGCCCAAACCCACATCAATGACCTCGAATTCACTTTCTGTTCGCCATTCTTTCAATAATCGTGAGTGCAAACTGTGGAAGTTGACAAATTTCCCTAGGAGCTTGATAATTACTGCATTTTTCCAGGGGGCACAAAGTCGCTGCCAGATTGATTTAGGTATTCTAACCTTGGGGATCTTTGGCTTGGAAGGGTGTGACCCATCTTCTGCCATAGGGGTTGAGGATTCTTGCTCTAGGTTTGCAGCCACCAATTCTTCATATGTGACGAGGGGAGGCTCGATGGAAGCATTTCCATCCACCAATGTATCCCGGAAGGATTTTACCGCCGGCGTTGGGTTGGGG